GGTCCCAGGCTGTGTGCAGGTGGGCATCCCAGGCTGTGTGCAGGTGGGGGTCCCAGGCTGTATGCAGCTGGGCTCCGGGTCCCGTTAGCATGTCCTCGATCACTGGTTACTTCCCACTTTGGAACATGCGTTCCCTCTGTTATCTCAGGGGAGCTCTGCAACAACTGTGAGTGGGCCCATTTTATGGGTGGAAAAGTGAGGCACAGAGGATTAGCCCAAGGTCACAAAGTGGCTGACGAGTCATAAATTGTGTGAAGCAAATAGCACCCCAGTAATACAGACCGAACCACCGTGAGAATCCAGTCATCCTTTCTCCTTCCCTGATCTCACTAAACCGAGCGTTTAGGGGCTTATAGCCCAGTTCTCGTTGCCAGGCCCCCCATTCCACCCTGTCCTTTCATGCATCAGAGCCTCGCCTCTGAAATCACAATTTATTTCTGTCGATGTGGAAGACACGGGTGTTACCCTGGGTGACAGTCATAACAGGACAAAAACCAGGAGACCAGACTGCATTTATGGATAAATATATTAGCAAATAAATACATTTCTCAACATAGTGCCTGATTCAAGCGTCTTTCTGTCTGGTTCAGATATAAATAACCATGTGGGTGCCTCGGTACCAGTCCCCACTGACTCTGCGGGAAGAACATTCCCAGGGGGGGTCCTGTGCCCGCTGTGCTCCCACATTCACATTCCAAATGGGATCACGCCTGAGGGGCCAGCAATGGTCAGGCTGCCCTGGGGTGAATGTCACCCCAAGGAGGCCCCTCGGCCCTTGCCCAATCGGTACCAGCTACTCAGACCAGACTTCCTGCTCCAAATCTACTCTCGCACTCACACCTGTGTCCCTGGCCTGTATGGCTTATACTGGGAAGTGAGCCTCTGGGAACATCTAAACCCAAGGGTCCCACTCTGCTGGTCCTCTGTTCTCCCCTGTTCCCTATCCCTACTCGGAGAGAAGACTCCCAGACAAGAATTCCTTGTCCTTGTTCACCTGTCTTTCTGCCTTTTCTACGTTTATTCCATCTTCCCTCTATGAAGTCCAACAGAAACCCTCTTCTTTCCGCCCACTTTGGGACTTTGACGTGGGAGATCTCCAAGGAAGTTATTCCCTCCACTACCACCAGCCCCACCTCCTGGAGAAATTGGGGCTGCTGGAGTGACAAGGAAGCTTGAAGGCCAGAAGCTCCACCTCAGGGAGAGAACCCCACACTCTGGCTTCCCAGAGCCTCCCCTCTGACTTAATATCGTGTATCTGAAAATTAAGGACAAGAAGGGAAAAACACATTCCCTCATGTACTGGGGCGGGTCCTGCAGTGTCCTCCCACCCTGCCCTGCTTTTAGGGTTCAGAGGTCACCACAGCTCTTGATCCTTTTGCAAAGAAGGAAAATGATAAGAGCCAGCGTTGGTGCTGATGCAGCAGCCTTGCCAAGCGGGAGCCAAACTGGTGTGCAGGACTCAGCCAGGAAAGGAGGCGAGGAGGGGTCATGAAATCAGCTGGACACATCGGCTGGTATGAACATGAGGCTTGGGACCAGGGAGACCTGCTGGGGCTGGGGGAAGGAGCAGCACCTTTATAACACCTATCTACCCATACCTAGCTTCCCGCTCTCAAAACACAGCCTTCCGGGAAACCAGCCCACACAGGCAGCAGCTGGTTCCCTGCCGGACACAGGCGTGCTGCACCGCACCTGTGTGCTGCAGACAAGCTCTGGAGCTGGGAGCAGGAAACAAGACCTCCTGCCACCCTCCATCACCGCTCCTCTTCCAGCGGTTCCAGAAAGGACGGCGAAAAGAGGGGTGTTTTCTGAGATCCTTTCTTCTCTCGGGAGCAGGCGTCTGTGCCGGGTAGGCCCTGAGTCATCCAGAGCACACTCTTGGTTGGAGGTAATTATCCCTGAACATCTCACACGGCCTGTTCACACAGCTCCTCAAGCTCCTCCTCCGAGCCTGCATTTAGAGAGAGAGGAGGACAGAGGTCACCGAGGGTCACACAGCCCCTTGCTTATACCACCTGCAGGAGAGTATGGCTGGGAGGCAACCACAGAGAGGGAGGAGTAGAGAGTGTGTCCAGAAGGGGTGATTGGATTGAAAGCTGAGAGGGGCCCCAGTGGGGATACAGGGTGGAGAAAAACAAATCTAGAGAAAGAGAAACACATAGAGCAACCAGTGTGTTACCAATACCTACTCTTCACTCATTCACCCTATAAATATTTATTAAGCACTCATGAATCTGGCCTGCCAACATGTGCCATATTGAAGACCAAAATGAATAAGTATGAACCTGGCAACCCTGTAGGAGAGAAGGCTTGTGTGCAAATGGGAATAATGCCAGCCATAGAGATGAACGGAGTAAGGCGAGAGGTCATGTCCCAGGGGAGTAATGAGCTGGTCCTTTAGGTAGGAATTGGAATTATGGGAATAGGAAGGCAGCAGAATATTCTGGGCTGCAAAATCCGCAATACGTGTCAAACCAGTTTGGCTAAAGCATGGAGCAGGGGAAGGGAAAGGGAAGAGTGGAAAATAAGGTTGGGCAGGAAGAGGGAGGCTAGATGGTGCTAGAGCTTTGAAGGCCAAACCAGGTTGGATTTTTCTTTACTGTGGACAAAACAAGACATTTGAGGATTTCTGGACGGCTGATTCGAGGAAGATGGCCCTGGCAGCAGCACACTTAAAAGAGTAAATGAGCTTGGCGTGTGTTGTTTAGTGGTTGAGCGTCAACCCATGAACCTGGAGGTCAGGGTTCAATTCCTGGTCAGGGCACATGCCCAGGTTGTGGGCTCAATCTCCAGTAGGGGGCGTGCAGGAGGCAGCCGATCAATGATTATCTCTCATCATTGATGTTTCTACCTCTCTCCCTTCCTCTCTCTGGAGAGAGGAAAAAAAGTAAATGTTTTACACTTCTCCCCAATAAGAGGGTAAATAGCTTAAATCACCCTGCTCAGGGAGACTGATAGCAGAAATCCAATTAGTGCCATTTGCCAACCACACCCAAGGACAGATGAGATTAAGAGAATAAATCTCATTTTGGTACATCAGCATAAAGCTGATGATTATCCTATTGAAATCCTCCCCCAAGTCCTCCCCTAAAAGCCCAGTCTTAAACCCCTCAAACAAAGGTCCCAGCAAGCACGCTCCTTCCCAGGAGCACCCCCTTGCCTTTCCCCTCCAGCTCCTTCTTTCCCCACAGGCATGCTTCTCCTAAACTCTAAGGGACCCCATGAGGCTTGCAACCAGGAGAGCAATGGGCAGTGGCAGTTCATCCCAGGCAAACCCCTTGAACCTGTCCCCAGGCTCCCTTTTCTCTGACTTCTTAGTGAGCCAAAGCAGCCCAGCCTAGGCTCAATTCCTTTGTTTCACTGTCCCCAGCTTTAATAAACAGCCTCTAAAATTCACCTGGATTCCTGTTGTGAAATTTTTCTGCAGGAAGTCAAGTACTACCAGACTTGACCATACAGTACCACCAGCCCTAGGCAGACCCTCTCAGGGACAGGTCCCCTTTCTGGTAACACCCCTGCCTGGTCCATAATTTTGCTTCTCAAAATATATCCAGGAACCATGTCTCCCTCCTGAGGGGGTCAACTTTAGTCCAGAACAGAATTCTCACCTGGATCTGGGGTGGAAATCTGACCCTGTCTACTTGACCCTGCTCTAGCCAGAACCCAGGAACCCAAGGCCACTCCCTCCTCCCTGGAGGGCCTGGACCCATCCACACACAGAGCCACACTTCCTGACCCCGGGCTCCATTCACAACTCAGGAGTCCCGAGTCCTAGCTCAGACCTTTCCAGATGCCCAAGGTCTTCCACCCCAGGTGTTTTCTAACATCTATGCCACACTAAGACTTCCCCTGAGACCTCCCTATGATCCGTAACCAAGGAATGACACCTGGCAGAGCCAGAGCGCTCTAGCCAGCATCCTAGGCAATGGCAGTAGTTCAGTATTTTGACTGTCACACCTGTTGTACACTTCTCAGCTCCCATCAACCCCTTGTCATTGGATTTCATTTGTTCTGCAATATACAGCTCTCATCTCCTCTCCCCACCACACCCGCTTCCCCTGAAAACTCACCAGGCTGGGCTGGCAGCACCTGGCAGTGTGGGTAAGGGCACGGCCTGACCTCTGGGGTGCCAGAATTCCATCTGGAAGGCCCTTCCCCAGGTGGGTGTGGTCCCAGGGGCTGGCGTGGAGTCAGACACAACCACACTGGCTGTGAACTTGGGTAACAGGCGCCTGGGGTTTCTGGTAGCATCCTCCTTTCTAGGCCCGGAGGTCCGAAGATCAATGGGTGGGCCTCTGGGGACCAAGGGTATGCCAGGCTGGGGTCATAATGGGGGGAAATCTGGCAAGTTAGGTGTGCAGTCAAGTCCTGGGGCCGAGAGGCTGGGGTAGGTTCTGAGGGACCCCCCCGCCGTTTCCTCTGTGGGTGTCGGACAGGGAAGCCAGATTTCTGCAAGTGGAAGAGACTGCTGGGACTGGGACTGGGGCTGGAAGCATCATTTAGGTCTGGGGCTGGCTCTGTGAGGGCCCCGAGCTGTTGTGGGAGCTGCCCAGTAGGGGCTGCTACGTTGGCTCTGGCAGCTTGCTGATCAGGAGAGGACGGCTCTGGCTGGGGCTGTGTCCGAGGAACAGCAGGCTGGGACTGGAAGACCCCAGTTTCAGCACCAGGCTTCCGGCCGTGCCACTGGAAGCGCTTTTTGTAGTGGTGGTGCCGATGGCGATGATAGTGGACATGGCTGGAAACCTGGGCTTCCCCTCTGGGCACCACCGAGTCCAAAGAACGGGGTCGCGAGGTCACACTGGGCTGCGTCTCCTCCCCCTGGGGCTCCCCTTCAGGGCTGCAGTATACCAAGGGGTCAAAGTCACTGCTGAGAGAGCTGCGGAAGGTAGAACTGCTGCCATGGATGCCTTGCAGGCTGATGTCTGTGCAGTTGACCATTGAGTCACTTGAAGAGCCATGACAGGGCCCCGAACTGGAGTCACTGGCCGGCCCATCTGCCAGGTAGCCACTGCGTTCTGTGCAGTAGCTTTCTGCAGACCCACTGCTGTCATGCGGCCTGGCCCGGCGTGGGGGTGCTGGGCAAGCGGCAGTGTGCTGTGCAGTACACTGCAGGCGGCTCAGACCCCAGCTCTGCGCAAAGGGGTGCTGGGCCACTGTCCGATGCTGCTGCTCGCCTGGAGCCAGGGGATGCGGAGCTCTGGGGAGGCGGTGGTGCCGGGGACCCACGCCTGGCTCCTGGGCGGGTTGGAAGGGACTAGGTCGTGAGGGCCGAGCCGCCGCCGTCCGGGAAGGGCCCAGCAGGTAGGAAGCAGGGAGGTGGTAGTGGGCATGACCAGGATGCTGACGAATAAGGTGGAGTCTCCGGCCTGGTTCCTGGTAAGACCGAGAAGGTGCCAGGGACTGGGAAAATGAATCTCCCCCTGGAAGAAAGAACCAAGAGCACAGGTGTTTGCACAGACCTCTGAGGGTGCATTCAGAAAGGCGTGGCTATCGCATACCTCTCTGAGCCTGCACAGCCTTACAGCCAGTCAGAATCTGGGCGACCGAGGACGTTCCTAACCTGTATGTGCCCTGGGATGCCCTCGCTCCCTCCAGTCAGGTTGTCCCCTGGGGTTTCCACTCTGCATGGCAACCCCTGCTCCCCTCCATCATGGGGGCTCCTTCACTGCAAGCACACACTGCACCTCTGGGTGGATTCAAAAAAGGCTTTCTTTGCCTCAAGATACTTCATTTCCATCTCTTAGGAAGTTGCCATAATATCCTGGTTTTGATAGCATAGGATTGTTTATTGCCAGAAAGTTGAAATAAATATACAAGTTCAGATTTAGACTCAACAAAGCTGTCATAAAAATACAAATAATTTTTAGAATAATAAAGATGTCTGCCCTGTGAAGGGCCCTCCCCCTCAGACAAGGCACTCCTGAACAGTACACAGCTTAGAGAACTGTTGAGGTAGTGCTGCTTCCTCCCAGCTTCAAGGCAAACCCCTCCCCACAGGGAAACCAGGTTCTAGACCAGGGATGGGGAACGTCCAGTCCATGGGCCATATGAGGCCTGCAAAATCATTTGGTTTGGCCCTGCCAAGGCATTAGGGGTGAGTTAATGAAATGTTTGACCCAAATAGCAGACTAATTTTAAGTTGATAATTTTGTATGGCCTGTGAATGATGTTATAAATACCCACATGGCCCTTGGCAGAAACAAGGTTCCCCACCCCTGCTCTAGACCCATCTGCCTGTACATAGGGCAGACCTTGGTCCGCCTCCTACCTACGATGTTGAACATGCAGAGGGGACAAGTCCGATGCTGATAGAGCCAGGGGTCCACACAGGCCCGGTGGAATTCGTGGAGGCAGGTAATGACTCGTAGCTCCTGGAGAGAACAAGGGGCCAAACCAAAGTTATCTGTAGCTACAGGAGTCGCCAGGAACCGGAACATCCCCCTAACTTCCTCTGGCCTCTCCTTTTGGTATCACCTACTTGCAAAAGACCTCCTAGTGGAATAGGAAAGGTATGGGCTTTGGTATAAAGTAGACCTGGATTTTGCCACTTAGCTGCATGACCTTGGGCAAGTTTCTTAACAGACAGTTTTCTGCTGTACAAAAAGGATAAAAAACTAATCTACCCTCACCCCTCATGGTCATGAGACTAAAAGGAGATAATGCATCTAAAGCACCCACTGCAGGGCCTGGCACATGGTACACACTCAACAAACAATAGTTCTCTTTCCTGGAAGACCAGGAAAATAACCAAACCTCAGGGATGTCCTCTACCTCTGCACCTTGAAGGCTACAAAGGACACAGATGCAGCCAGAGCACCCACACCAGCCTCCTCCCCCAAGCTCTAGTCTCCCTCCCCAGCCTGGTCACAGAGGTGACCCATGGTCTCTGCCTTACCTGGCCCTCAGAGAACTCCTCCAGGCAGATGGCACACACAGGGGCTGAGCTGCAGCTGCTCTCTGAGTCTGGCCACTCAGCCCGGGCCCTCCTACAGCTGGCCTGGTACCTCCTGGTGGCCAGCTGGCTGATGGCCCAGGCTGTTCGCTGCTGAAGGGAATCCTGGGAAGAAGGGTAGGGCTCAGAATGGGTAAGGGATCCTTTTCCCTCACCCCTGGGCCCCAGCTTGTACTCAATTCCCGGTCACCCTGATAGATCATGTGGTCGATTGGCTACCTTTGAAAGTCTGTCCCCTTTGAGTTCATATATGGCTCTGCCAAGCAGGCCAAGCCCTCCCACCCCACGCCCCCACTCATCAAGCTTCCCTTCCCTTGATGACCTGATGGAGAGAGTTTTTACCCAACTGCCTGCTTAACATCTCAACTTGGATATCCAATTGGCACGTCAAACTTGGTCCAGCTTCTTCCTCAAACACCCCAATGTGCCACAAACTGAATTCCCTAATCCCAATCACGCCCCCCCCGCCCCCGCCTGCAACCACATACCTGCCCTCCCCCAGTCTTCCCCATCTCAGTCAATGGCAATTCCATTCTTTGAATTGCTCA